TTTTTCGGTGCACGGAATGCACTGCAGGAGAGGAAGATATTGGTCTGAGAGCGGAATGGAATATACGGAAAATATCTCTGGGAGATTTTTGTAGACTTGGACGATTATTGCCCATAAACGAGGATCCACCATGCGAAAATCAACGGCTCCCGGTATGTATGAGGGGATCAGGGCTTTGAGTGCGTCGTAGTCTTGAGGGGATGTCGGTTGATCATAGCATATTCTGTTGCTTCCTGCAAGATGTATTTGATCCGGATAAGCGAGAAGCCTCTTGATGCAGCAAGAGACGAGGGACGGAACATAGGTAAATCGACGAGCCATTTCATCTTCAGATGCCAGTGTGTAACGGCCTGGGACATGTGGAGGGGGTGGCACGCTGACTTTCACAGTCGCGTCTGCAGACGGAACAGCTGCACGACGTCTTCCCCAAAGGATTATGGGTTTCATGGCGCGGCACGGTTGATTTTTTTACGCCCACGAGCGTTCGGGACAAGATGCACGGAGCGCGGCCAAATTGGGTGTGCGCCTTGATCGGGATCATGTCATGTGGTCGCGTTTTGTGGTGTCAACCGTGATGTATAATAATACAGCTCATTTTGATTACCACTGTATCGTTTTTACTGTAAGTTCCCTTTGTGATAGGGTACCCTCAGAGGTTTCCAAGTTCCCAAACTCGGTGGCCTGCGACAGGTCAGAATATGTTCAAGTTGAGGCATACGTACATTCAATGATTATAGGCTGTTTAATGCCTCTCATGCATGAGTGGGTATTTGGTTCGATCCTCGTTAAGTAAGATTAGTAACATACAAAATATATTTGACGTCACACATTCAAGTACAACTGTTAGAAAATAAATTATTAAAAATGGTAAAGTATTGTCGCAGACACATCGTCACGGAAAGAGCATCACGGAGTAAAGTATCATGGTGAAGTATTGTCACGAAGCAAAGTATTCTTGTGGAGTAAAAGTATTGTGGCGAAGTAAAGTATTGTCGCGGAGTCAAGTATTGTCGTGGAGCAGAGCATCGTGTAGGAGAGCATCATCGACAAGTATTGTCGCGAAGTAAAGCATCATTGCGGAGTAGAGTATCGTCGCAGAAAGAGCATCACGGCTCCACGGAGTAAAGCATCACCGCAGAAAGAGCGTCACGGAAGTACCAAGTATAATTGGAGTGTATGCTTGATGGAATGGGGCAGGTGCCTCGCACGCGGTGTCGATAATGGTTATACCTAGGCATGAACTTTGTGGCATGCCATGAGGCTCGCAGATTAGTAGGTGTTTGCACGAGGCTATCGCACCCGAACGGGGACGTGTTGTTGTGTCGGACACAAACAGGCAGGTAATAGAATAGAGAAAGGCATGAGTCCTTTTAGCTCAAATGAAAAATGAAGTAATTACGCCGAAAGAGAGACTCGAAGCCTCCGAGTCGTTGATGTTGTACGGATTCGATCAGCGAGGTGGCGTTCGCAAGATAACCAATGTTCGTATGTATCCGCTGGGTCGTCCAGGTCTTTGAAATTTTTGACGTGTCTAGCGCGGTTGGCGAACCGGGTCGTGTCGGATGGATTGCAGAGGAACTCAGTAAGCTGGCGAAAATCACACATGGCGTCGAGCCAGCCATTGTAAGGGACGTTTCTGGTATTATCCCGCCAAACCTCTTGTGAACGGCATCGTCGTCGGGAAAATATTGTATGTTGCATGGGGCATTGCATTTCTTTGTGGGTCGGCGATAGGTTCACTAACAAAGTTTTATAACCTTAGTAGGAGCAATCACGGCGGGAAGGTGCTCATTAGGGAAAGATATGGTTGGGTCTAAAGCGACCGATTCAGGGGGGCCTCTCACGAAGTGGTAAGCGCTTTTTTTATATTGGAAACCAAGGCATCATTTGGACGCTAAGAGCGGCGTCGGCAGCGAGACTTGGGCGTGGATTCGGTCTAGTTTGTCCTCGTAGTTTGCGGAATGCTGGATCTGTCGCGAAAGAGGTGATCTCAGCTGTTGAGTAGCCGTGGACACGATTTGACCTGCGTCGTCGGCATGATAATTGTTGCGGAGCAGGGCGGTGTTCGGTAGAGAGAGAGAGAGAGAGAGAGGAGGATCCCAAAGATGTATTGAGTGATATAGCAAACTTTTTATCAAGTCTCCGAGCGATGCTTCGCGCGACGCGCGTGGTAAAGGGCGTGATCGGGCATCAAGTCACGCCCTCGCGAAGCCTCTCAGTTTCGTTGTCGATCTCTTGTCGATCTCTTGTCCTCAGGTACAGTGGCGTGAGTTATTCGCAGGCTCACAGAGGCTCACGTCACTTTGACCTTCAAACCAATACTCGAGACTCCGGCGCCAACTGGCGCCAAAGGCCAAACTTTAAAATCGATCAAACCACGACCTTCTCGGCAACCGTCGAGAACAGTGGAGACTGTCCGTCGGCCCACTCAGCCCACTCAGCGGCATGGCGAGATACGAATTAATTCGAGGCGCCCTGTGACTCCCGGCGTGCATTGTGGCACGACATTCGTCTATATAAACCAGACCTCTCTCGGTCTTTCAACGCCGCACGAGTGCGTTACAAAACCGTCTCATCGCTCAAAACCACGCATCGACAATCATGCAGCTCGTTACTCTTGTCACGGTATCCGCCACTGTGTCTCTCGCTTTGGCCGCTGCTGTCAATGCCAAGTCTCGCCCCGACACGGCTCTCCGCGCTCGTGCGTCCTCGGGCATAGATACGTGCGTTATCGACTGTGCCGAATCGGCTGTTGCGGACAGCGACTGCACATCCTTCACCGACCTCTCCTGTGTTTGCACCTCTACCGCCTACCAGGAGGCAGTCGAGGAGTGTCTCAAGGCCAACTGCACTGCTGCTGACTACCAGACTGCCCTTGAGCTCCAGGCTGAGGAGTGTGGTGCATGTGCGTTCTCATCATCACTACCGTCGACCGACGATTATCTCATCTGAGTTTGTTTTTAGACACCACGACCTCTGCCACTTCCACTTCCACTTCCACTTCCAGCACTGTCAGTAGCACTGTCGTTCCATCCAGCGTTTATTCTTCAGCGCCTGTTACCACGAGTTCGACTTCTACTCCGATTAATTGTACGTTCTTACCATGGTTATCATTGCCTGTCGGTTATCTCACCTGAGTTGCCTCTAGACTCCTCCGTCGTGGGCTCTAGCTCTGTCAGTAGCACTCCCGTCTCATCTGGTGTTTATTCTGCTTCCACGACTGCGACTTCCACTGCGACTAACTGTACGTTCTCACCATCGATATTGTCGTCCGCTGGTCATCCCATCTGAGTTTGCCTCTAGACACAACCACTGCCTCCGCCTCCGGTTCTGTAAGTACCATTGCCGTTACATCAGGTGTTTCTTCCTCAACGGGTCCTACCGCGACTGTAACTGCTACTGTGACTGCTACTACGATCGCTACTACGACTGCTACCACGACTGTCCTTACGTGCACGGGAACTCAGGTATGCAGTCAATTTCTCTTTTTCGTTGTGACTATTCGAGGTGGCTGATTGAGATGTCTTATTAGTCGACCGAGTCCTCTATTGTTTCTTCTACTCCTACCACGACCCCCTCGACCTGCAGTGCGACGAGTACTTCGTCGAGTGCTGTGTCGACCGTAACATGTGGTTCTGATCACGGGAACGGTCGAGTGGCAGTTTTCAATGTGGCTGTCACTGTCACCTTGGATTGAATAGATGCTTCTTGTTCACTCAGGACCAATCATACGTAGTTCTGTTTTTTGAATTTTCGCAGTCGAATGTGTTGGATTTGAGCGCTCGCTTACTCGCAGCGTGACTCATTGTTTTCATGATTTGCTTCCACATTGTGGTGGTGATTAGGGTTACAATGATTTTCTGGTCTTTATTCGTTTTTTTATATCAGTTTGTTATTCGGACAAGCATAACAACAGTCATGTATCGTAGATTGTTCTTCATGCGATTGCTTTGAACTTTAACAATCACCTGGTTTGGGTGTCAAGCGTTTTGTGGGCGTGTTATGGGTGACCTCTACCATTTTTTGTTCATATGGACGGCGATCAAATCTGTCCATCAGCGGTTCGGTAGGCTCCGGTTCAACGCGTGGGTGTTTGAATTGATTTTTACCGCGTTGCCTATTATTGCTTAGTGTGAATGGTTTTCTTCACTGGATCGTCGTCTCTCCTGAATCTACTGACCTTATTTTACGCCCACATCGTGGTCACGGCTACGTTTACCATTCGGAGCACGCCTTGTATCCTTCTTCAGCCTTTCATTCAACTTCTATCACAGATATACGTGGTGCCGACAGATGCATATACCTTCACAATGACCGTTCAGCATTGAGCACTTACTACTCTCTTCTCAATATGCAATTCTTTCTGCGGGCTCGTCGTATGCTGTTCTCAAAAGTAGAGTTCATCGGCAAACAGTTGTGTAACGCGTACCTCTCCTTCATCAAACCATCCCCTTCCCTTGTACACTATGTCACACAGTCCTTTGTTCTTCGTGGAACAGATCCACGATAGTCTTCTCCAGATTCTCTGCCGCTTGCCGCCGTAGCTGTCGCTGGTGTTCTGGTGTGACGAGGATGCTTTTGAACAGTGGACAGAATCCGTCCAGCGCGCATTTGAAGAGCTCCTGTACATGCCTTCTTTGCATGATCTCACCCTTTCCACTATGTTCAGTGCGCCTTTCGCTATCTTCAGCCGCCTCAGAGTGCCACGACTCGCCCTGTATTCTATAGTACTGGACGGGTTGGAGTTTCCATCTCACATGTTTCCACCTCCAGAGAAGCTCGAACCTGTCCTCTCATCGGAAGTGTGACCAACTTGCAGCCTTACTTAGATTTACTCACTCGGACGGCAGATCTATCAATGCTGTCGGACGTGTATATATTCGAACCAAAACAGAGGAGGATCGTTCTGAAGGGATACAAACATTGATTGCTCTGTGACAGTTTCAGTTCACGGTGTGTGTATCTCGCCTTCATGGCGACCTCCAGGATTAAACTGATACGCATTAATGGGGTAGTGGTAACCTGGGTCGTTGCCATAGGGATTGAGCACCCACTTGTCGACCCGCCGGGGGTTCAATTCCCCCTTAATGCACTTATGTTTTCAACCGACGCCGGCTAAAGGGCGCACCAACTGATGCTTCAATGTTCGGCACCCACACCTGTTCATGAAGCTTGAAGCCCGAAGTCTGGGGCAGTATTGCTGAATCTTTCAATGATGCTCAGAGATGGCTCCTTTGAATCCACAGTCGCCCTGCCAATAATACTTAAGCGAACCCAGTTTTGGTCGTGTGCCTCATGACTTCCTTTTCGACCTGACCTTCCGCGATATCGTGATGGAAGTCATAGCCATGTCAGCCGCTCGCGGCGTGTGTGTGGACGTGAAGAAGTAGGACCCCATTCCTCATACTCGGAAATTCCTGAAGGCCTGACTGTTGAGCGGGACCAGTGGTTTAGTTTGGTGTGATGATAGCACTACTCGCTTGATCTGTTGAAGTTTTACCTCGGGACGATGTCACTTGCAACAAAATTATGTATGTAAACAACGTTTTTCTAGATCTGCTTTTATCCTACGGCTCACTTCTATTTTTGTTTGCTTATAGGAGATTATTTTTATCCTGCAGAGTGCGTTAAGACCATTGCATGTGGCGAAACCATGGAGATGTTGAGCTGCTCAATTGAATTGCTCAAGGTGACTATGATACTGATCGTTATCGCGATAGCGCTGTACAAGTCTGTCATTTTTCATCATCATCCTTGTGGATATCATGTAAGAATGATAGCTGTAAACATGCGCGCGTGCCCACGAGATCGAGGTGGAAGCGATTTGGCGGCCGAGGAGCCTTAAGTATTGCCACTCACCTTGTTTTTTTTTTCTTGTGGTACTAGAAAACGTTACTCCAGCAACTCAGGAAAGCCTCGACTCCAGCCATTGATTATCTGCCATGCGATCTAACCCGCTCATTGAAAACTCTACACCAGAGACGGGTTTCGGGGGTAGCCTATCTACAAGCTTGGGCGTAGAATATACTCCAGGATCCTTCCACAATGAAGATTCCGCCGCTATAAGAGCCGCCGGATTCCTGCGCGACGCAAGTATGTCCGTGGGGCAATCTTGGAATCTATCTTGATATACACTGGAACTTACAGAATACGTGCGCGTCCAATGGGTCGATCTCACAAACATCGTCAGGTTTCGCGTACTACCCGTGGAATACTTTCGCAGACTCCTGCAGACACCTAGACGCGGCATCGCGGTAGGCAAGGTATGCTCGAGGCTGAATCCATGCGAGCAGACGGTCTGACAGCAAGGGGGGATAGGTTGCGCTGGGTCTTGTCAACCTCGTTGTTGCACCGGGCTTCAGCCCCATAGGAGAATACCTGTACACAGTGGATATGAGTACCATGCGACCTTGTCCATTTGCGCCAGGCCATGTGAGCGTCATGGGGTATTTCCAGGAAAAAGTCCCCGTGAGCGACATCGTGACGGGCGAAGCAGTAGTAGATGTTGCGCTTTGTTCGCGCACAATCCTCAAGCGCATTGTCGCGTGAGTTTCACGTCTGATTTTTGATGCTGAACAAATCTTCTTCATACCCGTTCGAGGTGTTTGGCCCTTATAACTGAAATTTCCCCCTTGATTAAGAGAGGCACAAACATCTTTGGATGTCCAGTTCTTGGTCGGTTTTGAAAGCGAGTTCATTTTGCACAAGTCCGACTTTTCCGAGTCAAGCCCTGTAATGCCAGTCAACTTGCAGCACGACTGGAGCACGAGCGCTGGCCTTGCCTCAGGGACTGTTGAGGCCACAGTGATGCAAGAAATCGCAGATGCCATACAGGTAGGAGGCTATTTTGCTAATTCGCCACTGAACATACCGTCTCGTTTCAACAGGCGTCAGGGATTGAGCTCCAGCATTACCATGTTGAAGCCGCGCCTGGTCAATACGAGGTCGTTACCGGCCCTCTTCCGCCGTTGGAAGCGGCCGATGCCCTCATCCACACGCGCGAAATTATTCGCAACGTCGCAAGCTTGCACGGTCTGCAGGCGACCTTCGCACCACGCGTGTTCATGGACAGCGCGGGGAGTTCCACTCACACGCATATTTCTGTACACTCTGGACGACACACGAAAACGGCGGAAGGGCTTTCCATGCCTGAAGCGTCATTTCTCGCTGCCTTGCTTGAGCACTTACCGGCTGTGCCTGCGATCACGCTACCTACAAGGGAGTCGTACAAGCGCATGGCCGATGGTGTATGGAGTGGTGGCACCTACGTCTGCTGGGGCACTGGTGAGCTTGTTGTGAGTGCACCAGAACTGGAAGCGTGATCGTAGCTTCAATCAGAAAACCGTGAAGCACCCATTCGTCTCACCAATGCTAAGAGTCCACATTCGCGTAACTTCGAAGTGCGATGCATCGATGCCACCGCCAACCCTCACCTCGTTCTTGCGGCGGTGCTTGGTGCCGGCTTACAAGGTATACGCAGTAAGCTTCCGCTGGAGATGCCTGACTGCCATGGCCCCGAGAGTGCGGCTCAGATGCCAGCGTTCAAACGCGCGCTGCTGTGCATCAACAAGCGCTTGCCCCTGTCGTGGGAAGTAGCACGGGACATTTTCAAGACAAACGCGGCAATGCAGACCATTTTCGGACAGGAATTCATTGAAAAGTATCTCGCCGTAAACAAGGCACGTTGCCCAATCTTGTAAATAAGACGATTGAGGCTTATAGAATCAACAGACGCTGGCGGAGGTTTTGATCCAAGGTCTTCAGGATACAGATGAGCTGGGAAAGCTTCGTCGACTGATGAATTTTTACTAATTGGATCGACAACTCATAGACAATTGATTCAAGAAGAAAGTTGAGCAGCTAGTAGAGAATAGAAATACATTTTGTACTGCTTTGTTGTTTGGATAATACAATTTCTTCAACCAAAGATTTCACCGAATGTCGTGCTCTTGTAACTAGAGGTAGTTCGTCAGGTTTACACGGGCCAATTGTCAGAGTGAATATGGTAGACATACCCAAGGTTAGCATTGCCAGGATCAATGTACGTGCTATCGTAACATCAGCCGTTAGTCCGAGGAGCAATCGATGACGACCTCACATATATCCGCGATCATTGGAGATGCCCAACTTGTCCTTGAAATACTGGAAGAACTGTTTACTGTACTTGATATTGGCTGCAGGATTGACATTTCCAAGGCTGATGACCGTCATGCGGAATGCGGGCTCAAAGGTACCACCGAACGAGACACTCTCATTATGAGTTATGCTGTACATACCAATCGGTTAGCGCATCATTACTCTGGCTGTTGACCACGCACCTGGCCGATATGTAAGAGACAGGCTTCCCCAGGATGGCTGCAGCTTTCTAATCGATATGAGCTGGTCAGATTATCATTTGCAGGGTTGCCCCTATAAGACGCACCTGGCTGAAGTCCTGGATGAACGCCTTCGTGTCATCGACCTACATCGGGCTTGTATAAGTATTGCGTTCATTTCAGTAGGAACAGAAGGTGTACCTTGACGTTGGTGATGATTTCAAGGGCTGGCATAGTGATGATGGATTAGGATAAGAAGTGGTGTGTTTCGATGGATACTTTGCACTTATGTCATGGACTCGAGTCAACGTGCATGACCAAGGCCCAACATAGCTATTTGACATCAAACGCCTAGATACACTGCAGACTGTCTTTCAAGAGAAAAGTATGAACGAATTAACACCCATCACTAACTCTGACAGCAAATACAGTACTGAATCCCATGAGAAACAGAAATAATTGCAGTATAAAAGTGTGAACAGACGTCCGTGCAAACGTATACTGTTATGTGTCGAGCGGCGGATTATCGTCGTTGTCCTGGCGTCGGCGTCCACCTCACCCTCCCCAGATCCGTCTTGCTATCCTTCGAACTGGACCATGCACTCGCAGCCTCCATAGCTTCCGCTCGTCGACGGCCCATCGTACCTCGATCGAGCAAACGCTTCGCAGCGGGTGTCAAACTGCCAGGGGCGGCAGATTTCGAGGGGCGAGGTGTCCATGAAGGAGGCGGCATGCTGCCTTCGAGCGCAGACGTGCGACCCCACGACGTAGCCGGCGTCCGGGAGCTCACTCCGGGTGTTCGCCCATTCATCAGGTCGGCTTTCGCGCGTAGGCTCTTGCTTGCCTTCGCGCTGAGGCGGTGTGAAAGTGCCTCGCGTGATGTCGGCCCCGCAATGTGGAACGTCATGTTCGGAGGGTCAACATCCTCGTCCGCGCCGCCGGAACGAGAGATGATGCGCGGGGTTGCGTTAAGCGTGCCCCACGTCATGAGTTGCTTAACGCGCTCAGGCCCGAGCTCTTCGGGTGTCGGCGACGGCACAGCAGGAACCAAAGAGAAGGGATCGCTCGTGCGAGAACGTGGACGATCTGTGAGTAGAAGAATGAATAGAGAAGTCCATGCCGCAACTAAGTACATACATGGCACTCCCTGAATTGCAGCGTCGATGCGGCTGCGTGTCGGACTTGGAGGTTCAGAAGGGTTAACAGACGAGTTGTCCTGTTCAGGTAGGCGTGTGCTACCGTGCTTGATAGACTTCGGATCGGGTGGTGGTGGTGGCTTGCCGGCCATGTGGTAAGGTGATTCGTCTGCGTCGGGTGAGAACATCAGGGAATTGCGAGCCTGTCGAAGGCGTCAATACATTACAGTCAATGGACATGCCGAACGAACCTTGAATTTCCAGGCTTCAACACCGTCTATACGAGTATCTTTCTTCATCGCCATGACATCGATAGTCTCGTTGGGTTTCGAGGCGTCGAGATCTCGGATGATCATGCGCAACCGTTCAGCGGTTTCCATGTCTTCTGTATCCTTATCTTCTTTCTCGTCTCCTTCAGCCGGCTTCCCCTTGCCCTTCGCATGACTCGTAGAGGAGTCTTGCTCTTTTCCGTCCGTTATGAGACCCGCGTTTGTCGGCTGTGCTATCAGCATATGCTCCTTCACCCCAGGTGCGGAACCTGCTGCAGGCTCAATCAAGCGGCGTTCTCGTAGCTCCAGCGCTTCCTCACGGCGGGCTTCCACCTTGTGCTGCGCAGCCCAAGCCCAAGCCCATCTCTCGCG